TGAAGCACCAGCCTGCCTGCCTTTCCTTGCTTTGTTTTAGTTTTATGTGGTTTCCATTTGTTGATCGCAGAGCTGACAAAAGTGTGGGACCAAAATAAAAATATGTCTCCCTCACACCTGGGAATCGCCAGACCCAGGGTTTTTGTCACGTTGCCTTTCACGACTGTTACCTGGGGCGTCGTCACCAATGTGCTCCTTGTGCTGCGGGACTGGATGGAGACCGGTTCTCTTTTTGTTCCGCCCTAGCGTTTCACGCCTACGGGAAAGCCGGGAAGATGCTGGTGGAGACCAGGTAGGCGGTGCCCCCTGGCGGGGGCTCCTCTGTCCTGGCTCACCTGTAGCTGAGGGGAAATACCGCACGGGCTTCGGGGCGGCCGGGCTGGGATCAGCCGGTAACTGAGGGTGTGTTTCTGAAGTGTTACTAAGTATTTGAAAGTTCAGTGTCCTGTGCTCTTAGAACAATTTGCGTCAAGGTTAAAAGAAAATTAAAACGGGAAAACAGGAGCGCAGTGCAGCGGCCCTCCCTCGGCGGGATCGCCCCTGGGGGCTGGCCCTGGAGCTGGTGCCCCAGCCCTGCACTGTCGCTGAGGCATTAAATTGGAAACGTCATGGTTTTCCCCCTTTGTAGTAAAGTTTTATGCGCTGAGAGTTGCTGGGGAGCTGCCCTCTCAGGCCTCTAAACCCGGGGCCACGTTTCTGAAGCACAGGTCCTGTGGCTTGTCGGCAGCCGCAGTGCAACTTTGTATCCCGCAGTGCAACTTTGTATCCCTGAGGGAGCCTCGGAGCTCCTGCGGGGGGAGAGCCAGAGCCCCATGGGGCAGAGCACTGCGGCCCTGGGTCTTTACTCCACTCGGACCCTGCGCTGCACAGACGCACCCAGGTCCTGGGCGTGTGCAGAGTTGCACCTTTCACGCAGCCCGGTCTTTGGGTGACGTGTCAGCAGGGGCTGGACCGTGAACACAGCCCGAGCCCGGCCCTCGGCGGAGGGCGGCTCTGACCACGGGGAGACCACAGACCCCTGTGAAATGCCGTTAACAGCCCGCTTGGCTTCCTCCCTCGCAGCATGATTGGGCTGATGCTGGGGACCTGCATCGCCTTCTATGTCGTCATCGGTGACCTGGGGTCCAACTTCTTTGCTCCGCTGTTCGGGTTTCAGGTAGGGACCCTCTCGGGTGTCTGGTGTCTGGACACGCTTGTGCGACGCCCTCAGACCTGCGGGAACAGGGGGCTCAAGTCCTGGCGCTGGGCAGGAACCCCCGGGGACCCCCAGGTGGCGCCCGCCCAGCATCGCACTCGCCCCCAGGTGACCGGCAAGTTCCGTGTGCTGCTGCTCTTCGCGGTGTCGCTGTGCATCGTGCTGCCGCTGAGCCTGCAGCGGAACATGATGGCCTCCATCCAGTCCTTCAGCGCCATGGCCCTCCTCTTCTACACCGCGTTCATGTTCGTGGTGAGTGCCCGGCGCTTGCCGGCTGGTCTGTCCGCCAACTGCTGCCTGGGGACGACCAGAAGGGAGCTAAGAGCCTGGGAAGTGATGTGAGGGCCACTGCGGGGCCCACAGCGGGCGCTGGGGAGGGGAGGGTGAGATGTGCCTCCTGTCGGGTGGAGTCTCAGGTGGGTGTGGCCAGGGTCCTGGTGCCCCGTGTGCTCACGGGATGTTTTCTCTGTGAGGTTTCTAAGCGACTGGACGGGAGGACCTGTGTGCCGTGGGCGCTCAGAACATTCGGTCTTTACCGAGCGTGCCCCAGGCCCTGAGCCCAGGCCTGCCTGTCCACCGGCAAGGTCAGGGTGATCTCTCCTGGGGAGCAGAACCGGGAAGTAACTGCTGTTGGTTTTCCTCAGAGGACTGGGCACCGGTGCACGTTCCCAGCGGCCCTTGGCCGTGAGCACCAACTGTGAAAGCAACCCACAGCCCTCCCTGAGCCCTTCCTCATGGGGCTGGGGAAGGACCTGCCTGGTTTTGGGGGGGACTGTCCTGTCCCTGAGGCAGTGGAGTGGGCATAGTGGTGGCCTCACTGCCCGCTGCCTGGGCTAAGGGGCCCCTGCACAGGCTGCTGCCCTGAGTGCCAGGCGGGCCCTGCAGCAGTGCTCCTCTTAGCCGCGCCAGGCCAGCCTGTGGCCTAGAAGAGGGCAGAGAACCTTGACGGTGGGGACCCCGGCAGGCACACGTGGGCTGAGACACGGAGCGGGACTGGCGGGTCCCCGAGCGCCTCTTTCTCCTCTCGCAGATCCTGCTGTCCTCGCTCAAGCACGGCCTCTTCGGCGGGCAGTGGCTGTGGCGGGTCAGCTATGTCCGCTGGGAGGGTGTCTTCCGCTGCATCCCCATCTTCGGCATGTCCTTTGCCTGCCAGTCGTAAGTACCGCCTGCCCCGGGCCCAGGCGGGCCTGTGTCCCGGGTGGGTGGGGTCAGGCTGGGCCGCGGGCCCCTGGAGAGCCCCATCTTGTTCAGTTGTCTCCTTTGCCCCCTGCCGTGAGGGAGACGGTTATGTGTTCACACGTCTCTCACACGGAGAAGTTGACTTTATTCCTGATATGTTGCCGGCACTACTGGGGAGAGAACCATTTGCCAAATCCCCCCGAGAAGAGTTGGCTGTGGGAGCACCGAGCAGCCCAAACCATCTGATCCACAGTCCCAAGCATTTTGCCAGAAGTTAGCTGTTTGTGTGAAAGTATTTAAAAGGAAGTTGCATAAACATTGCCTGCAGGCTGCCTCTGGGTGCTGTCAGAGGCCCGTGTGCGTGCGAGAGAGTGTGTGTGTGTCTGCGTGTGCGCGTGTGTGTCTGCATGTATGTGCGTGTGTGCGCACGTGTGTGTGAGTGTGTGTGTCTGCATGTGCATGTGTGCCTGTGTGCGTGTGTGCGTGAGTGCGTGTGTGTGTCTGCGTGTGCACGCGTGCCTGTGTGCGTGTGTGTGCGTGTGCGTGTGTGTCTGCATGTGTGTGTGTGCGTGAGTGCGTGTGTGTCTGTGTGTGCACACGTGCCTGTGTGCGTGTGTGCGAGTGCGTGTGTGTGTCTGCGTGTGCATGCGTGCCTGTGTGCGTGTGTGCGCACGCGTGTGTGCGTGAGTGCGTGTGTGTGTCTGTGTGCACACATGCCTGTGTGTGCGTGTGCGTGTGCGCACGCGTGTGTGTGCGTGCGCGCGTGCTTGTGCGCCTTCCCCCAGCGAGGGGCTCTGAGCTCTGAGTGTAGCCCAGGCTGTTCCCACAGCTCCAGCACCGCCGCCTTCGCCCAATGGCGAGAGCCAGTAACCACTCAAAAGAGGTGCGAACCGGGTGCGGACGGGAAAAGACCATCGGTGTGCCGGGCTGCCAGTGCCCCCCCGTCGCTCTCGTGGGCACAGCCCCGCCGAGTGCAGACCAGTGAGACATAAACGAGCTCCTCCTGTGCGCTCACACCCGCACGGGATCCAAGCTCCATCTCCTACCTCGTCCCTCCTGGCAGCCCGGCGCCGCCGGAACGCGCTCCGCCTGCTGCTCAGTGTCCCCTTTACAGCTGGCGACACGGCGGCCGCCTTCCACGGTGCCTGGCTGCCCCCTGTCTCTTCTGTCTCAAGTTTGCTTTTTTTTGCTTTTTGTTAATCCTGACCCGAGGATATTTTTTCCATTGATTTTTTTTTTTTTAGAGAGTGGGGGGTGGGCAGAGAGAGAGAAACATCAATGTGAGAGAGACACGTTGATCGGTTGCCTCCTGCATGCACCCCAACCAGGGCTGGGGATGGAACCTGCAAGCCAGGCACGTGCCCTTGACCAGGAATCGAACCCGTGACCCTTTAGTGTGAGAGCTGATGCTCTAACCACTGAGCATGGTGACCAGGGTGCACCTCACTTTTTAAAGGTGGCTTGGGGGTTGGCTCCACTGACTACTGTGCTTGTCCTGGATTGATGACGGTTTCCTGTCCTCACAGGCCCCCGCCAAGGGCCTTGGGGCCGTGTCTCTGGGCCCCACGGGGACCACAGCAGACAGGACAGCAGAGTGACCACCCTCAGCACAGCACCACCCCTTGCTTTCTTGTCTGGGCATCCCCAGCGTAGCTCCCTGCCCCCGGGGCTGCCCTCGGACCTCGTACCCCCCCGTTTCTGACTCTCGCAGGAGAGCCTGCGTGGACCACCCCTTCCCTGCCCAGCTGCACTGCGCGGCTGGCCCAGGGCTGGGGGGCAGAAGCCGCTTTTCTGTCCTCTCCCGTCTCCTGTCCGCGGCTCCGAGCGCCTCTGAGGCACAGAGATGGGCGGGCGTCCAGGCTGCTTGTGTTTGTTTAACTTTCCAGTCTTTTGACAGCAATGCTCTGAACCGCTTCCTGCTTCCCCTGTAAACACGCCGCCTCCGACCGGCGCGCTCCCCGTTAGTGGTCACGCTCCTGCTTCAGCAGGACAGACGGCCTCTCGCTCTGAGGCACTTGTCAAGTGTCTGCAGGGGCGAGTGGGGAGGGCTCCGGGCACCAACCCAGGCCCCCTCCCCCTGGTTGCAACATCTTGGCTCAGCCCCGAGTTAGGCCCTAGTTTCGTGGTGGCGAGCGTGGCGGGAGGGGAGGGGTTGGGGCCTCTGGGCTGGGGCCTGTCTCTGGAATCTGCTGAGTGAAGCCACCTGTTCTCACAGTCAGGTCCTGCCCACCTACGACAGCCTGGACGAGCCTTCGGTGAAAACCATGAGTTCCATATTCGCCTCCTCCCTCAACGTGGTCACCACCTTCTACGTCATGGTAGGACCCCGCTCGCCCTCTCCCCGCTCCCGCATCACAGGCGGTGGCAGCTCCTTACAGTCCCTGGCAGGGACCAGCTTCTGACCCCTGTGTGGTGTCCCAGAGCCCGGCGGTCGCAGGCAGGCCTGCCCCTCAGCTCCACCTGGGCCACCCTGAGACTGCTCCTCCCGGCGGCCTCGGTGCTTCCGTCCCAGGATGGCTGGGCTGGCTGCCTGGGCCTCGGCTGGTTCCCCCAGAAAGGGGTTGGGGGGTGGGCAGTAGGAGCTGTCGCCACAGCCGGTGCCCATTCTCCGTGATACCCCGGTGGCTGTTTCATCGCCAGGTTATAAGTGCACTGGGCTCCTGGCTTGGTACCCGAGCCTCTTGTTCTCGGCATTCTTGTTGTGTTTACAAACGGTCCGTGAAGATTGCCGCCAACCAAGCGTCTGCACCCACAGGGACACGGTTTACCCTGCAGTGCCCTGGCTGGGCTTTCAAACCACATGAAATCCTGCCCTCCGCGTGGAGGGCACATGGGGCCCTGGCTCCTTCTGTCCACACAAGAGCTCCGTGTCCTCGGTGCCCTTCCCCATGAGTTGCCTCATGGGACCCTCCCCTTTGGGCATTTACCCTTCTTACCAGCGAGGACCTGTGTCGAGCCGGGAGGCTGGCAGGCACGAGGGTCTCGCTGAGGCTGCTGTGAGGGGCCCACGGGTCCTTCCGGGGAGGGGCGGCCCAGCACAGCCCCCCGCGCTGTCCTCCGCAGGTGGGGTTCTTCGGCTACGTGAGCTTCACCGAGACCATCGCGGGCAATGTGCTGATGCACTTCCCCTCCAACCTGGTGACCCAGATGATCCGAGCGGGCTTCATGATGTCGGTGGCTGTGGGCTTCCCCATGATGATCCTGCCCTGCAGGCAGGCCCTGAATACTCTGCTGTTCGAGCAGCAGGTGAGGCTCCCGCTGCTGACGGTCTGGAACCGGGATGTGCACTTTCCCGGCTTGGTTGTGCTCTCTCCTCGTGGCTTCTGCTAGTTTCTTGTTCTCCAGCCAGTGCTAGGTGAACTCTCCTTGCCAAAGTGAAATCTTTCAATAGGGATTTTTTCCTAATCCAACTTTGGAGAAAAGAGACGGCAGCGGGACAAACGGACTGACTCACACGGAGCCAGGCCCTGCCTGTGCCTGTTGCCGGGGCCTCCCCGCTGTGCTGCTGCTTCCCCAGAGAGGCAGCGGGAGGTCCGGGCCTGTCCCTGCCCTTTCGGCCCGAGGCTGTAGAGCTTATGCCCACTGCTGCCACGGGGAGCAGCCCGGGCCTCACGGGCCTGGGCGTCCCGCACACCCCGGGCACTGGCTCACAGGAGGGCGGTGGGGAAGCCGCGTCTCAAAACCTTCCTGTTTGTGTTTCTGTCCACTCAGCAGCAGAAAGACGGGACCTTTGCGGCCGGGGGCTACATGCCCCCCCTGCGGTTCAAGGCGCTCACCCTCTCGGTCGTGTTTGGAACCATGGTCGGCGGGATCATGATCCCCAACGGTGAGTGGGAGGGCCTGCTGGTCCCGGTCACCGCCTCGGCCCGGGCGTCCCCTCTTCGCCGCAGCCCGTTGATGCATGTGGGTGCTCGGCAGCCCGGCCTCAGGTTTCCCACCGAGAAGCCTCCCTGGTGCTTCTGCAGGGCGTCCAAGCAGCAGTGCTGGGCCTCACTCTGGGGGGCCTGGGGAGACGCTCCTGCTGCCTCAGCGGGGCTCACCCACGACGAACCGGGCGGCGTTTGTGAGGAAATGGGGGCGCAGAACAGGGAACCTGCCCGAGATGCTGTAGCCGGGAAGGAGCAGCCGCAGCTGTGCGGGTGCTGAGTCTGCAGTCCTGAGTGTCCCGTGGGCGCAGAGGCTGTGGCTCTGCTCCTGGCTGGCGTCCAGGGTCGGGCCTGGATCAGCCTCCATGCCAGGCCGGCCGGCTCACCATGCTCGCTGGAAGGTGAAATTCCGTTCCTCCCGGAGCCCTGGGCGTCACCCCCCTGTCTCTTGCCCGCAGTGGAGACGATCCTAGGCCTCACGGGCGCGACCATGGGGAGCCTCATCTGCTTTGTCTGCCCGGCTATGATCTACAAGAAGGTTCACAAGAACACGCTCTTCTCCCAGGTGAGTGCCCCCAGCCTCCTTGGACCCCTGCATCCGTCCCTGTTCTCTCTTGGCTTCTGTGAACTGCGGCTGCTTAGCACACAGGTACTCGGTCCCGTGTCCTGTGGGTCTGGGCGACACTAGGGTTAGCCAGGGTGAGGGTCCGCACGGCAGGGCCACCCCGAGCGCTAGCAGGTGTGCACGGCGAGGTCCCTGGGCCTGGCGTGGGTGTCGCACCAGCTTCTCAGCATCAAACACTAAACAGCTTTTCCCCAAATGTGGTCCTTCTGTGTCATATCCCTGCCTCAATCTCACCCCTCCTGAGGACACCCCACCCACCATCCTGCTGGGGACCCCGATGGAGTCTCCCTCCAGTCTCCCGCTGCTGCAGACAGGCCGGGAGACGCCCCCTTTTGTCTCTGGAAACACTCTCTCCCGGAGTCGCCAGCTGATACAGTGTAGCCGCCGCGGCCTCGGCCGCTGTCTACAGTGTAGCGGCTCCTCCGGCCACTGTCTACAGTGTAGCGGCTCCTCTGGCCGCTGTCTACAGTGTAGCGGCTCCTCCGGCTTCTCTTGCTCTCCCGCCTGCTTGAGGTGTGTCTCTTACGACAGCATATGGTTGGCTTTTGTCTTGTCTTGTTTTCATCCAGTCTGTTAATAGGAGCATTTAGGACTGTTTACGGTTGGTGTAATTACTGATTTTGGGGGGATTAAAGCTTCTGTCTTACTCTTGGATTTTTATTTGTCCCATCTGTTCTTTCTTCGTTGTTTTTTCTACCTTTTGGATAAATCGAGCGTTTTGAGTATTGATTCTTTGCTCCTCTGCTCGCTCTGTACGCATGTTTTTTGGTGTCAGACGCGGCCATTTAACAGGAAGCCTGGCTTATTAGAGCTGATGGTAAGTTAGTTATTTACTGATTCCCAGACCAGGCACGGATCCCACGCTATGCTAACTCCTTTTACCCGCCTCCGGCCTTTGGTGCTATTGTTTTTATGTGTTTTAATTTTACATATATTTTAAACTCCTCAAGACACTACGGTTTCACATAGTCAATATTTACTTACACGGATCCTTGCGGTTTCCTGGCTTCCTGTCCCTTGGCCCCGCCTCCTGGCAGCCTGTGGACGTGGCCTGTGATGACCGTCGAGGTTCTGGTGGGACTCTCCCTGCAGCAGGCAGGACGGCAGAGGCCTGTGTCCCGCTGACGCCAACCTGCCTGTTCTTTGCCTTCACTCCTTGGGTACGGCCTCTGCAGGTCTCGGAGTCACCATCGCCTGAGATCTCTCAGTTCTCTGCTGACCCTTTGGTGGCCAGTCTCTGGGGGGCTGAGACAGCTGGCAGAGGCCCTATCCTGGGGAGAACGCTACGCAGGATGGGGCACCCTCCTCCAGGAGTGGAGCCCCTCACCCCTGGGGCCACCCTGTGCTCATGCTAGTCCAGACCCCGCTGCACCCTGCGCTCAGCACCCTGCCCCTGCGCCCATGTCCCAGGCCTGCCCCTCGGGGCTTGCTGCCCGGGCTCTGTGGCAGCGTCTCAGCCGGGCCCGCGCTCGTTTTTATCAGCTTTCACAGCAGCCGTAAGTGGGGTGCTGTCGGCCATCAGCCCGGCCAGTCACAGAGGCATCTTGGTGACGTCTGGGAACCGCTCACAGTGGGGAAGGAAGCGCGTCGCCTGCCAGGTTGTGGGCGTTTCTCCCCGTCGGTCAGGTTCAGTGTTTTAGTCGATCAGACTCTTTTTGGGAGAGGAAGTCAGTTAGAGAGACCCTCCCGCTCCAGTGTTACGTGAAAAAGCTTCCCCCCTCTGCTTCTTGCACGACCTTACCGGTCGAGGCCTCTGATCTGTCCTCTGTCTTCGTGTGAGTGAACGGCAGTTGTGCTCCATGTCTTTCCAGGAGGCTCCTAGTGGTCAGACACGTCCTCACCCGTGCGAGACGTGACTGCTCCCTGGCATCCCGTCCTTGTGCGTGTCTGGGCCTCATTGGGCCGCGTCTGGGCCTCCTTTTCTAGCACGCAGGCCGCCTGTCTCGTCGCAGGGCCTCCGCAGTGTTATAATCACTGTGTGCTTGCACAGGACACGCGCTCCCACACGCTCCCTTCTGTCCCCTCTCCTTCGCTTCCATTGATAACACTTCTGGACGGTCCTGCTGGTTTATTTCCCATACGAATGTTCCAGTCAGCTGGTTTCACTCTTCACAAAGACAATTCCCACTTTTTTGTGTTCTGGCCCAATTGGGATTCACTGAAGCTGGAGGCGAAGTTAGGACAAGTCAGTCTGTCCACCCTTGTGACCCACAGCATGTCCTCTGACGTCCTGCGCAGCGACAGGGCCTGGTTGTCCCTACGCAGGCTCCGTGTCCAGAGTGCGGGCCACGTGCACGGCTGGGATCCTGGGGCCTCAGTCTTCCCTGGGCTTTCTACCTGTTGCTGTTTGAGGAGGGGGAGGCCGTGCCTTTCAAATGTTAGTTCCTCTCCTGGTCTCACACCCTGGCCCTGGCGGTGGTGTGAGGGGCAGGCCCTGCAGTGTCTAGTGTGGGCCCGGTCAGCCTGTTGAGCCTGATGCCAGCTCTCGGCACGGTGTCCAGCGTGAGTGTGCACGTGTGCATGCCTGGACACGACACGCCCGTGGGCTCAGACTCAAGGGGACGGGGCCTCTGCTGTGCTGCTTTACGGCTCGCTGAGCTGCATTAACCACCTTCGGCTGCGAGGGCAGAGGCGGTGAAGGTCTCAACTCAATGTGGGGCCGTTGCATCGTGAGCGGTTCTAGAGCGGCCCTGACCGTGGCTGCCCTGCGTGAGCCTCTGCCTGTTTCCCAGCACGTTGCCTTAGTGATTTGAGGAACGTGTCTTCTGAGAGACACACTCGGAAATGTGGCCCGGGTTTCCCACGTTCAGGCCTTGGGTCTCAGCCAGCAGGCACTGGGAGTGTCTCTTACAGCCCCCCCCTTCTCTTCCGGCTCCCCTTGTACCCCCACCCCCTTCCCCGTTGCCAGTGGGGCTCGAGCAGTGGCTGATGGTCCGTCCTGTTGATCAGTTGGGGACGACATCTCCCAGTGGCCAGTGGGATGGACCAGCAGGCGGGATGGACCAGCAGTCAGGCCTTCAAGCGCTGTGCCCGGCCCTCCTGCTGTGCTCAGCGAGGGGGCTTCCGCCCGCATGCCTCCCTGCTCCCCAGGAAAGGTGGGGGCCCGGGGACTGCGTGACTCCTCTTGCTCTTGGGCTCTCTGTGTCATCCAGGTGGTGCTCTGGGTCGGCCTGGGCATCCTGGTGGTCAGCACAATCACCACCTTGTCCGTGAGCGAGGAGAACCCTGTGGACTTGGATTTGGCAAAGGAAGCCCCCGGCAGTTGGCTTAAAGAGGCTGAAGGCGGGAAGAAGGCAGAGGTGGCCCAGCTCCCAGGTACGTGGCTCTCAGGTGCACCATGGCCCTCCAGCTCCTGCAGCCCTCTGGGAGGTGCCCCTGCAGCGACACCTTGGGGTCATGGGAATGCAGGTGGCGTGTCCCAGGCTGTCTCATTTGCCCAGCTGCTTCCATCCTGTTTGGAGAGGGGCGGGCAGCCACCTGTGTGCAGGGGACAGATGGCGGATGGGGGACAGCAGGGCCGAGACCGCCACACCCCTATTTAGTGGGCTAACAAGTAATAAACTGTTTGTTAGTTTCGAGGATGTAAATTTCAGCCAGGTTTCTGCAGGACACAGGCTCCTGTGCTTTGTGACTTGTTCACAGTCTTCTCTTGGTCAGTCTGCCTGTTGGTGGAGTGATCACCTCACTTCCTCCCTTGGCTGAGGCCCCTGGGAAGGCCCCTGGCACCCCGTCTATGGCCGAGCCCGTGGAATGCAGGAAGGATGGTTTCTGAGCTCGGCTAAGGTCTCCCCTCCCACCGTGACTGACAAAAGAGTTTGCATGGAAGGGTGGGCCAGGGCGCAGATGTGCTCGGGTGCCAGCAGCGGCGGCTGTGGCCCTGGGACTTCATCTCCTGTGCTTGAGAAGCCCCTGCCTGCGGGGGGCTATCCCTCCCGGCTGTCGGACCTCTAAGGAATGGCCGAGCTCCCTTCTGCCTTCCTGGGCCCGCAGGGCTGGCGAAAAGATACTCCCTTGGTGGGTTTCCTGCAGAGAAGACCCCTGGGAATGGTGGGACTCACGGAGGAAGCATCCTACGTGCCAGGAGCTGCAGGGCGTCTGTGGTGGGTTGCAAGGATTCAGGGATTTGGACGGAAAAAAAAGTCCACCCGAACAGGGAGGCAATGTCAAGGGCTCACCCTGTGGGCACCCCGCTGGGTCCCTTGCCCAGGATGGGTCCACCCCGTGTGTTGGGTACCCCCCGGGAGAACTGGCCTTGGCACCGGCTCTCCCTCCTGAGCTGGCTGTGGCGTGCCGCGGCGGGTTTCTCGGCGTGAGTCAGCACCGGCAGCCAGCCGGCGGAGCAGCTGCATCCTGTCCTGGAGCCGGGTGCTGGCTCACCTGGAGCCATGTGGCCACATCTGGTTCCCATTTACTCACACGGCTGTGGGAGAACACATGGCCTTCGGAGCCTCAGCCGAGTGTTTTTAGCGCGTCCTCTGTTTTTCTTGCCCCGGCCTCCCCCGTAATTGATGGGCTGCCTCGGCAGAGCAGAGCCGGCCTGTGCGGCCCGCGCCCTGTACCTGTCGGATCTGCCGCTGCCTTGTGATCGGCTTACTGGCCTCTTTGCTTCTCAGCTGCAAAACGGTGCCGGCTTTACTTAGAGCTCCTCACTGGCCCCCGAGTTACAGTGGGGACACTCTCAGCGAGCGCAGAGCCAGGCACACGCAGTGTGGAGAGCAGTGAGGGCTGAGGTGCTTAGCCCGTGAAGGCTCACGAGGCCGCTGCCCACTTAGAAAAGGCTAAGTAGGCCCTTATTTTATGTTTGGAAGCACCCTAGGGGGCTGCAGGCGGGCGCAGATTTTGAAATATGGTGGCTGCCTCCTGGGACCACGGCTGTCCCCTTCCTTTCCTCCAGCACCTACACCCCCGTCCGAGGTGTTGGGGAGCAGCTTTGGCCCATGGCCCTTGTAGGACTTGCCCTCTTTCTGCATCAGGGGGTGGGGGCCACTGCTGTGCTTCTGCTCCTGCTCTGTGGGGAAGTGCCAGGCTGGGGCCTCTGGGTGCCTGCTTGATGGGAGGAAGGCCTGCAGGTGGCCGTGTGTCCCTGTGTGTGGATACAGGTGGGCTCACGCCCGTCCCTCCCAGGTGCTCACCCCATGCCGCCCGCTCTAGCTGCCCCAGAGACACCCAGGGGCAGAGTAAGGACCACGGGTGTTGGCAGCCCCCAGCCCTGTCTCCCTGGGCCAGGACTAGAGAATTACTGATGCCCCACTGGATGTGGGAAGTGTCTGGTGGGCACCCAGCCACTGGCCTGCTGTCTCGGGAGCTCCTTGCCGGGAGCACTCCAGCAGGGTGAGTGTGTCCCGTCACCACCATTCTCAGTGTGCAGGGGGGCCGATGACCACCGGATTGCCCAGGCGGGTGGGACCCACTGCTGCCTGGCAGAGGGGCATAAACTCAGAATTTCTGGGTTCTGGTGACCTTGGCCAGTGGTTGCTGGCGAGTCTTGCTTTGGTAATTGGAAGTGATGACTTAAGGGACAAGTGAATTGGGCAGTGACCTTGGGGAACAACGGGGTGGCCAGCGCTGACCTTTGGGAGCCCCAGGTTTTGTGCCAGCCTGGGGCGCCCTCTGCTGGCTGTTCTCAAGCCCCACAGCTGCCGGCCTCGCAGGACAAAGGGGCCCAGAGCCCCACTCCCCTGCAGCCCTGTCCACACCTCGTTGCCCCTGTTCACCGGGGGTAGCACCGCCAACCACACACAGGCACTTCCTGTCTTTTGCAACCCGCGGTCACATCGCCGTCGGAAGCCGAGCCAGGCGGAGCACGGGCTGTTTTCAGTTATTTGTTTGAAGTTTTATGTCCGTTTTACTGTGGCCAAGAGGCGTTGCCGGCAAACGGTCCCCAGTGAAGCTTGGCTCTGCTTCAGGAAGTGCGGTGGCCGTCCCCGTGGACAGCGTTGAGGTGCGGGGTCCCGACCCGAGGTGGCTGCTGCGTGGTGAAGACTCGTGAGTTCCTGCCGTGGTCACTGCCCGGCCTGGCAGACACACGGAGCCCGCCTCAGCCGTCACCTTGGATGGCTGCTAATTTTGTTCCTTTCTGAGAACTGACCTCCAGAGGCGACTTGGCCCTGGATAGAGCAGAGACTCTCTGTTTGTCATACTGGCCCATGCCCTCCCGGCCCCCTTTCTTAACTCGCAACCTGCTCGACAGACACCTCTGATTTAGGGCGCTTCTCTTTGGTGCATGGGCGTCTGCAGGGCACTGATTACATGGCAGAGCCCAGGATGTTTTCACCCGCCTGTGAGCCAGCTGCCTGGTTAGACCCTGGAATCCAGCCGGCAGGGCCGTCCCTGCACCGCATGTGACAGGACCTCCCTGGCTGGCAGGTCCCATCTCCTCGCTGATCCTCTCCCCTGGGAGGTGACGGGTCCCGTCTGAACTGGAGTGTTGTGGGTGCTCCCGCACGGTCCCCACTCGGGCCTGGGGACCTGGCTTCTCAGAGAGCAGAGGTGGCTTCTGGCCTCGGATGAAACACACGTCGTCTGACACGAAGTGTTTTACGTGGAGATGGTTTCCCAATAGGCTCCGTTTTCGCCCAGTTCCGTGGGCCACCCTGTGCCCCTTCCCGAGGACTGTGGGTGAGGGTGCGGAGAGGATGGCCGTGGTTGCGAGGTGCTGCGGGAGGCGGGTGCGGCTCGGCCGGCTGTGGGCTTTGCTGTCTTCCTCTCGATACTGGTGTTCACCATCCGCGGTAAGGGGCTGGCAGGCTTACGAGTCCATCTGCCAAAGGCACAAGCACCTCTCGCCCTACACGCGGCCGGAGCCCCACACCCGGCACCCTGCACCCCGCAGCCC